TAAATACACATATGTTTTTCCTTTTGTTTCTGATTTGAGCTATGTGTAATCGAATCACTTTACGCACAATCTTGTGAACGTGATGTACTCATTAATAATTATTACCTTTAATCTCGCCAATGTAGCCGCCGATGTTGTTTCAGATACACTAGAGGAGTGGAAGATGGTGTTCTTCGGCACAGAGACGTCGGTGGAGGTGGACGAAGAGCTGGACAGGGACAAGCCGTTGCCGCCGGTGGTTCATCAGGACGTGATCCAGAACAATGCAGCCCCGGACAATGTCCGGCACAATGCCGTGGACACTGAGGGCGATCCGTGGACAGGCAGCCAGCAGGTGGAGCGGGTCTCCCATCCGGAGGTGCAGAAGCCTACGACGGAGAACCAGACGAGCGGCTGCGCTGCCCTCGAGCCTGGGGGCAGCAGGTGCCTAGGTGGGTGCCTCATACTACTCCTTCTAGCCTACCTGACCGGCGTGCCCGACTGGCGGGAGCTGATCACCAGCTGGCCAGCCTCGACGGACAGTCGGAGCGAGTCGGGCGCGGAACCGGATCGGCTGCTGATCGCGGCGACGAATAGCGTCGTTTCGACGACGACGTCGTGGACCAGCGACGTGACGACGCAGCGCGTTTCGGCGGTGATAAATCGCTTGCCGGAAGCACGCGGATGTTCATGATGATAACGGGTCGCGTTCGGTCCTGCGAAAGCTCGCGATCCGATCCTGTGACTCGAGTCGAGTCACCGGGGGACCCGCGATAGCGGCCGTCGACGACGTGTGCCTGATGCGTTCTTGTGATCCGTGTGACTTTAATGTACTTGTGATGCGTGTACGTGCGAAGGGAAGGTGTCGCGCGAAGGTGGAAGGCAGGGAGGACGAAGGAAAAACTCTCTCTCATTCCTCATCTCCCGGTGCTATTATATTGAGGAGAGATCCGGGAAATTCTTAATATTGGATTGTCGTCCGTCCTCTGTCGTTCTGCGTTAAAAGCGCGAGGGATGCATGTTAGATGATGGACATTGAGTCCGATGATCCCGTTAACACCCCGTTGTAGCGTTCCTCTCGTCGACAGCATGATTTCTTCGCTGACGCGCATCACTAGGTTTGGCTTTCCGAATTCGTTTGTGTCATGCGAGAAAGTGTGTGAGTCTCTTCTGGTTGATACGATACATCCCGGAGGCTTGCGCCATGACAACACTCTATTAGAGAGGAGCGTCGATGTGACGGCTTCGATTGATTGAAATTTGTCACGGGGGGAAGGGGGGGGGGATAGGACTCTCAACAAAGCTACGAAACAGGAAATACCCGATTCTGTTTTCAGGTGTATGATAAACTCTCGATTTTCCGTCAAAAAAAAATTTGTTTCTAAGTTTTGAATTTTGATATATTTCCCAATTAAGCTTTATTAAAGAGATTATATTTTTTATTATTTATATGTTTCATCGTATTTTAAGCATAGAGTATGTAATAATCGTATCTTAGAAATATTTCAACAGAACTATTGGACAAAAGAAATCTGTAGGAAGCAGCTTTATGCAAGACAGAATTGTTGACATAAAAATCTCGCGGGAAATTCAACGTTACAAGTTTGCTCGATGGACGCAAGGTAATGTGATTTTTTGCATGTTGTTCGACTTGTTAACATCGTTTCTTACGGTATCTTTTGTGGCGAACTTTTCCCTAAAGTAATGCAATATTTCTTTCGTTACGAGACAAGTAAGATAAACGCAGCAGATTTTACAAAAAGCAACTAAAAATAAATAAATATAATTTAATATTGCAATAAGGATGCGAAAATCGAGAATTCATCATTTTTTCAAACGCCTTTCTGGCTCTATAACAATCACAGCAGTTACAGTCGTAACTCTACGGATACGCTTGTAAATATATGCAAAACATATTTATTATACTTCGCGGAGTTACGTGCAATCTTCCGAAAAGTTTTGAGAGCACTGGCACTTTCGTGGCATTTTCTTCCTCCATGTTGAACGGAGCAAAAATGGGTAAACGAGACCAATGTTTTGACAAATACATTGTGGAACTGCTTGATTTTTTACATGATAATCCGACAGTACCCGCATGACCATTATATCTGACTTTTCAATCGTATTCGCATTTTTATTCGAC